AATACAAATTAAGCAATTTTAATTCACATAATAAAATTCATGAAGACGTTATAATAATTTATATGCAATACGATCCGGCTGAAGTTATTAATTGATTTGTTTAATGAAATTATTTTATTTCAAATTATTTTGTTTTTTTTTTTTAATGAATACAAATATTCAATTGGATTTAAAAACTAATATTTTATAACACATGATAATGGATGAAAAAATTAAAACAATTCATTTAATAGGCTACACAACTATCAACAAAAAATGTACTTAATTTACTGGTTAACAGAAATATATTAGCTTTAAACTGAATTCGTTGATCTAAATTCGCACTGGATCAGATAAACGATTATATTAAAATATATGTACAGCTAACAGCGTATTGTAATAAATGATTAATAAAATATTAATTAATTAATTTTTTTTTTTATATAGGTATACGCTATTAATATTTCAAGAACATGTTTGTTCCAAGAATAATTTTTTATTTATGTCAACTAAATCTCATCGTGTACATGAAAATATTCCAATACTTGGATAAACTTTTTTTCTTATGTAAATTGCTTTTTTTTCGAAACCAAACCTTAAATTCCTCCCTGAATTTCATACTTAAGTGCCAAACCGTTGTGAAAACCTAACGTATGATATATTTAAAAACTTTAAGAATATAAGAGGTTCGAATTTATATTTTATTTAAAAGGCAATAAATATCCACATAAAAAATTTACTGAAATACGCTTACAGCTAGTTATCGGTAAATACGTAAAATGTGGTAACGCTTAGATATTTTTTTTACTTATATATACTTCAAGAGCTGTGCATTGTTAAGTAATCCGGAATGACGTAGAAACGAAAAAAAATGTATATCTTGGCCAATTTAATGTATTTTCAAACGTTATTCTCTAGAAAAAAGTACAGTTAATTTATTAATTTTTTATTGATCTTATTTTGCATATTATAGAAATATATAACATTTAATATATAATGGGTCATATTGAGCAACCTAATATGAAATTGAAAACACTTATTATCAGCTAACGTATAGGCTTTTAGAAAATCAAGTTTTTGAAAGGCACTGGTCAACCGAACTTTAAGATAAATTAGTTAAGGTCAAGGCTATGAATGGACTAAAATTAAATGAAATGGAATAATTGAATGTTTGCTGACAGACAAGAAAAGGAATTTTTAAGAAAATATACCATTTTAGTTACAATTTTTTTTCCTAAAGATGAATAAAAATATAACAAAGATAAGAATAATAACATCTAATGGACCTTATTGCAGTAGAGCACCACTGGGAGTTTGTTTTTCAACAGCATTGTTCAAGACTTACTTAAGCCATCGACTTGTATATTGGTTCTGTCTTTACACGTGGGGTTGTATTGTATTATTTGCTTTTGTACAAAAAAATACCGCATAACGGTAAATGCATAGCATAGCATACCACATAGCACTAAATAGCGCATAGTACCTAAAAGTATTATATTTCACGTTCAACATTGAGTTTTAGAAACCGAAGTAATACATGAGTACGGGATTTCAATCTCTAACGCTTTTGCCGCCAAGTTCCATTCTCGTGTCCTCGAAAAAAATTACAATCACCCTTAAATACGAACGTGATACAAATGGGACTGAACTATAACAAAATATATGCTCTTAAAAATATTATCTGTGTTTTTTCGTTCAATAACAAAAAAAAAAAAAAAAACGTGCGTGAATCGAATGATTGTGTGCACATATTATTTTTTAAGAACATCATGTGCTGTATTTTCTGTTTCGTATGTACTACTATGTGGGACTTCTTTAATTCTATATTTGTCATAATACTAATAACGTCGTATGATTAACGGATACTTTTAGCTAGGGTATACGTTTTAAATAACTTGTTATAACATTCTGGGATATCGATTCCTCCGTCAGTTAATTCATTCCACTTAACTGTTCTTTACTTCATTTTATAGGATACATGTATTGCTACGAACGTCGACAAAAATATTGCTGATCCTTGCCATATACCCGAGTTTAATAAATATTATCATAGTATAAATATTACTTTTTAAACTAAATTTTCCCGTGATTGTGATCTAGTGTTTTTCCGTTTTTCACTGTTGGTTATCTATATTGATAGGTTGATCTATGTGATGCAAATATTTACATCACTACTCATACGTCCAGTAAGGCAATAAATGATCATTTCGACTCCGGCCCCGTTTGTACGACACATAAACATTAATTTAAAAAAAAAAAATTACAATCCTATTGATATATCGAGAGTTTACATATAAATAATATAAATTTGAATTTTTTAACTCCCATCACTACACGAACGAGAAGAAATATCATACATAGAAGTGTACTGTTTATTCGCGATCGATTTTTAACCATACCTACAGTTAATAGTTATTCAGCAAATAACTATTGACATGATACGTAGACGTGGAATGAATGTGTGTGTATGTATGATCGATTTTCTAGAAGAATTCGGGTAGTGGATGTTTAAGCATTGTATTCGGACGTGCGTTACACACAGACACACACACACACACACACACACACACAAAACGCACGCACGCCTGATGGATGGACAATTCAGCTGCCAAGTGTGACAAATTTCTCGTTTTGATAGTCGTCGGGTGGGTGGTAGTTTGCAGGATATGGACACAGGGTGATCGAAGTAGGAACGACAGGGTAACGGAGTAGCAAGTCCTTTGGTATAAACGCCGCATGACCGCCTCCTTCCACCAACCGCTCGTCCGACTTCTCGCGAAACTGACGCAGGCGTAGAAAAAATGGTAGTAAATCACACCGGGAAATAAAACGCGCGCATGCTCTTTTATTTACAACATCCTGCCCAAGAGAGTTTTCTGGGGGACATCATTAATAACGTTCGGGGACCGATACGTTTTGTGATTCACGCGCCATCCCGTCGGACAGGTCCCACACGGGTAGATGAAGGGTTTCGGACACGTTATGTTAAGGTCTCGTAAATATTAATAGGGATTTTATCTCTTCCTCTGTGCCCTTCCTTTCTCCGTTTATTGCCCGTGTTTTTCCGCCTAAATGTTTTAACATGAGCTTTGAGACCCCACATACAAACGTAGGACTAAGTTATGTCTAAAGGATTTACGAAATTTCGCACTTCCTGTGCACATTTTGCAAATGGTCGTAAAATTCTTTAAAATAACTACTTAAGATTGTTTAAAGCTATTATTACAAGACCAGACATAAGTTAAAAGAAATTTTAAAAATAAAATTGTCACGAGAAACATCGTTGACATGACTAGACTAAATATACAAGTGCGGTATAAGTTCGATTTTAAAGCGAATAGGTGAGATAACAGATTTAAACTACTTCAGCTTTTATTTTTCCTCTAGCATTTAGAATTAACTATCTCGGGAAAATGTTGAGCATAACATATGAAACGAAAAAACAAAGCAAATTTCGTTCTGTGTGATTGTAAAGTGCTTAATTTGTATGATAATAATATTAGGTAATACATTCAGAATAAAGAATACTAGTGAAGATATAAAGATAGTTTTACTAACACTATGAATAAATCAACGTGTAAAATGTAATATTAATACGTCTATGATGTTAACACGTAGTACTTCTATACTATGTGTCTAGATACGTCTGAATTTAGTGCCAATTCGGAGCTCTTATATATGCTGTTACATCGCATTCTTGTTGGTTTCTTCTTTATACATCTTTTTTCACCAACTGTTTGTCTTTGATTGATAGCACATTCGTGTAACGATAGTGATGAATTTCAATTCGCTCATGGCTGATTTTACATTAAGTTTTTTACTTTTACATAGTGTGTGGTTAAAATTGTTTTGCGTTCATTATGTTGGTTAATATTTTATTATAAAATGTTCTATACGAGTAATATTTATAGTAATATATAGTAATTAAAAAGTACACATAGTATCGTATATCATTTTGAAATATAATGGTAATATAAAAATACGGTGGGTACTTATTTTATACCCAACGAAATTTATCGGGAACTAAATAAAATAATACTGCTCGTTACGCGAATCGATCGACTTCCACCCCTTATTGTTACCCACAAATTCTAATAAGTTTATCGTTCGTATGAAATAAATGTGTACACGGCAACGTAATTTTGGTCGTCGACATTACCATCAAGACAGTACATCACATGTATCCCTTTATTACACCATGTCATGTATCACACAGAAATACAAATCTTTATGTCACATATGTGGCACTATTTCGAAATTGTCTGTGGCAAATATTTTGTTTCGTATACTTATTGGGCTTTAAAAGCTATTGGATTATTTTAACTGAATCGGCTTCAGATAAAAATAAAAGAGTAAATAAGTTAAATTTTGAAAGATGTATGTATAATGATGATTAATTATTTAGTATTTTAATAAAGTGTTAATTTGACTTTCTATACTTAGTACAATTATTAATTACCAAGCTTACTAACTCGAATAAAGTTAATTTTCTTTTTCAAAATTTTCAAATCATAAGTAAAAATTAAAAATATAACGGTTAGAATAAAAATAAATGTATTCTCAGATTTATAATCTGATCACAATAAACATACAAATTAGTACCTCACCCTAATATTTAATATTAATAATTACGAGTAGTGAATAATATTAGAAGACAGTTTGAATTATTTCTCTGAAAGGATGAAATTGTGACTAGAGTTAAGAGAAGAAAGTTTAACTGAACTTGAAATGTACATTTTACTTGAGTGTTTGTGAAATGTCACAAAATAGACAAATAGTTGTGATAGAGTCGGTTCTGTTTGAACGGTGTATGTGTTTTCAACGGGAAAAAGCTATCAACATAGTTTTGAATATCATTTCACACAGCACTGAACGGCATTGTATTTACATTAAATAATAAAAAAAAAAAATGGACCGGATAATCCGGTGTTTTTAGGTGTTTTTTACGGAACGCATTTTGTATCGTGTTATTTTTGTATTTTATTTTATTTATTTATTTATTTTTTTACACACATTTTCAGGTTTCCTGGACCAAGGCTTGATGGTCCGCGATTCCCGTAAGCTTCGGGAAAACTACTTCAGCACGTCCAAATGGAAGTCCGACATCCTGAGCTTGCTGCCGACCGACTTGGCGTACCTGTGGTGGCCGTCGCGTAGCTGTTCGGCCGCGGTGTTGCCGTGTCCGGTGATCGTGCGCGCCAACCGACTGCTCCGCGTGCCCAGGATGCTAGAGTTCTTCGACCGCACCGAGACGAAGACCGGATACCCAAACGTGTTCCGCATCTGCAAGGTGGTGTTCGCCATACTCATACTCATCCACTGGAACTCGTGCTTGTACTTCGCCATCAGCTACGTGATCGGCTTCGGGTCGGACAACTGGGTGTACAACTTGGAGGGCCCCAGAAACTCGTCGCTTTCCAGACAGTACATTTACTGTTTCTACTGGTCTACGCTCACGCTCACGACGATCGGTAAGTTGAAATTTTGTGAACCTTTTCAAGTAAACCTTGGGGGGGGGGGTACTAAGCCAACATAGCTGGGGATTCCCATCTTCATGCCACGTCGCGTCGCGTAAAACAATCGTCTCCTGGTCGGCTACGAGTGAACTTGGACGTTCACTTTTAGGCTATGGTCATAGTGTCTCAAACGTCGGCTAATTTTATTGGCCGACAATTGTTCATTTCAATGCAACCAGTGTAGGTTATAATTTATAAAATGAACGTCCCCTCATTTTTGTGTTCGGAAATAAGTCCTGTTAATAAATATTTATTATTAAAAAAGCAAAAGTATCACACGAATGACATTTTTAAGGATAGGGAAAAGTATGGAGAGTTCCATACATTGTTTCGTCAACTATTAGAACAGCATGAAGACTTACTACTATAATCCCATAAACTCCTTCTTTGGTGGACCAAACTTATTAATTTCTCGCAGTCTATGATGAAAATAATATTGAGTTGATTACGTCGACTGAATCGGCCGATATAAGTAAACAAATTTGAATTTCTTCCGATAGATATCTGACGTCGGTCGAATCGGCCGACGTCGGTGCCACTGTGACCGCAACCTAAGGTTAGATTCGTTATGCGTTACCGGAGTACGTAGCGTGGATTACCGACAATTTGGTGGCGTCCAACTTTTCAACGTGCGGCCGTACCGATCGGTAACGGGTTCCGCGGTAAAATGACCTAATAATACGTGACCGAAACCGGACAACCATTTCGCATTTCGTATTTCTATGTTAAAAATGTACCGATGTGGTGCGGACCCGGCTTTACTCCTCGGCCGATCGCTAAACGACAGTTACTATACGCATAACGTGTTGTGTACGATATCGGCCGGTTAAAAATATCATTTGAAAAACTGCATTACCATTTCTATCCACATTGATCGTTTTTCTAGATAGTCTTGTAAAATATAATACGACTCCATTGGTTCAATAGAGTATCATAATCCATATCCTATATCACAAATTAAACCATACATTTCCTTCCATACACACTCATATTTGAAGAAACATCCTTTGTTACTATAAATCACCTCTAAGATCGGCTAGATTTTCTTTACCTTCTCCTGCTGGTAGGAAAATAATGAAAAGAACAATGTCCGAAAACCCTTCCTATAAGAGTCGTTGGTGTCCGTGGCCTGTTAAGGTAATAAAAAATTAAATTAAAACCCACTATAGAAAGTGTCACGGCTGAGTGATTTATTTTCACATTTTATTCATGTCTAAAAAGTACGAACATACAAAACATTCACAAACGTTTATAATACAAATTAATGTTAAGTAAATATTTTTACACTTATCCAAAATTCTTTAAATATTTATATTTTAATATGTAATTAACTAACTTACCTTATTAATAATATTCTTGGTTGACTTGCAGCAATTAAATTAGTAATATAATTACATTTTTTTAAATTATAAGAATTTTATCGAGCAATAAGTGCTTATTTTTAGTATGATTATAAAATGTATAATATTAAACCATTTAAGTTGATATTAAAAAAATTGATAGCAAACCAAAAATAATTATATATACATCAGGGTCGTGTAATAAAAAAATTAGTTTTCTTGTATTTTAAATTTTGAAATATACTTTTATCCATATATAATTGAAAAAAAAACAATTAAATTAAAATTATTGTAATTATTATTGTATGTATAATTAACGACTCTACTTTATAAATTTATATGTCTATTTAGGGCTACAGATTTTAATTTATATGAATTTTTTTTTTTTGTCCTAAAGTCCTTTATTTCATCGATTATTTACGTTGTAAGAAATTAACATTTCTCAAGCCTACTAAAATGTATGAACTTTAAAAATAATCTAAAAAATAAGTTGCTCGTGAGTATAAGCTTTCAAGTTTTCAAGTAAGCATTTCATTTCAACCTACATTGAACAAACGTGAATGGCTGACAAAAATGACTGGGAAATTGAATAAATAAAAAAAAAAAAAAATGATATTTCAGTTTGGTCCAGGGATAAATCTGAGAATAAAATATGAACTCGCTTAAACGTCCACGCGTCCCGGGGAAAACTGAAATAATACGTCCCTCGGCGTTGATCACTACCGCTTTTAGCCTCCACTTCAAGTGTCCCGATAGTACATGCACCGCGTCTTCCTTCCGCGAACTGTACCGGACATACGCCGGCGGTCAGTGTATTTCGCGATGTGCGACAAGGTCGTGATTCACTCGAACAAATAAACACGCGCGGCGATCTGACGTTTGCGATAGGCATTATTTTCGTCGTCGCGTTTGTTCGCAAATGTACACGCAACGTACTCAACATCGAATCCCGTTTTATGGACAACAAATATTTGACGAGCGTCTGCCACTAAACCCGTACGGGGTTGAACCGAAAACCGTTGAAGTGCGCACAGCGCACACGAGTTCGATTCGTCGGGTGTATCGGTAAATTGTATGTGTTTGTTTCGATGGGATTGCCGCAAACGGAAGGGCACCGAGTGTTACGCGAAAAATAACTTTTTCGCTTGTCAGACGGAGAGTGCAGGGATTTAAGTGACGGGGAATTAAAATATTCCATTACGGAAAATACGAGTTTAGGCACATTCCGGGAGTTGCCAGTTTTTTCTTCGGTTAAACAACTAGGTGCTACCCATAACTTACCGTAATATCCACTTGAGGTGATTAAATGTGCGTTATGCCAAATAACGTATTTTTTATCTTTTTTTTTCTTTGTAATACTATACGAAATTAACTTCTGTTCAAAAGTGAACCATAAGACGAACGTAACGTTGTCATTTCCGATGACTTCAATATGGGTTTCAATCGTTTTCATTCGGATAGTATTTCGTCATAATCATTTTACTGGTTCACGTAACCACAATGCGCGAAACGCGGTACACCGTTTATAACAGCCTCAAATCGCTGCTACATGTGTTTGATGGGAAATTATTTTAACTAAATAAACGCATCAGATCATTAGATAAATTCATACCGCACGTACAGAATACAAACGAACGCATGTCCAATGTGAAGTGAACGTGGCTGTAGACAAAAAAAAACATTTGACACGTTGTAAGCAGAGAAAAAATGACATGACCGTAAAAGCTGTTTCCTAATGATATTTAACCATTTTCTTTATAATCAAAAGTGATATATCGTTATTGATTTGAAAACGTCTTATACGGTGTTCAGATTTTTTTCACTTGGTCAGTGAACATTTTTGAGTGTTACCTTTTTCGCGTAACGCTCGATACCTATTATATTATTAAAATGAGGCGATTTTTAGGTACCTAATTTAGTTATATCTGAAGTTCTACTGGACCGATTCACATAGTTTTCTTTTTTTTTTTTTTGACATGAACATTTTGTGTGTTAAAAAGCCATCTAATTAGAAAATTTCAAAAATTTAATTAATTAAATAGTAATAAGAAATATTAAATTTTCCGTTTATACGATATCGGTACGGTATCAATTACTCGTAACGCGGTCACACGAAACAGTGATATGGATAGTGAATTTTGGGTGGTCAAATATTACCGTCTGGCAGCCCCTAGCCACTGTTTGACCCAGAACCTCACCCACCGTTAGACAACCGCCCATCGCATGCACTTGGCTAGACAAAGATAGAACAGTGTGGCTTAGAATGCGTTCTCTCTTTGAACAAATATAATTCGTAAAAATGTTCCTATACTAAAAATAATATGAAAACACGTGTTTTAAACGAAGAATATTTGCTTCAAATTCTACATAAATAAATCTATACTTCTAAGCTCATATATACGTTTTTACATCTTCCTGGGGTCGTCCGAGACACTTTCCGCTTTCATATATTGAATTTCACAACCTACGTGCAGCTTTTCAAAAGCTAATAAAAACGAAAAACAAAATTACTGTTCTTCCAAAGGAAACAAGAAAATATTAATAAATCATAATATAATTATATTCGAGTTCAAAGTAAATGTTAAATAAATTATACGAAGTTGGTTTATTAAAAAGAAGATTTAATGAAAATTTAAAATAAAAAAATATATAGTTTTCATTTCTCAAGTTTTTTTTCTGTATATTTTCTGTATATTAATCAGCAACAATAATATATAGTTTCATACTTTAAACTTTGAAGATAATATTCTGTAATACCGATGACTGATATTTGTTTGAAAAAATGTGTTTTTAGAAAATATAATTATTTATATTTTTTTGATATTTTATAAATAAGAAAATATAATTACAATACATATTACATACATACATACATGTTACATATTATTAATCGCAGAAATCAAAAACTATCGGAATTTCAAATACAATAGGTACAAGTTTTAAAAAACCATATAGTTATTAACTGTACTTAAATCTGCATACTACTCATCTTAAATCAGTCTTAATTGTTTTATCAATACACGAATACTATAAATTTAAAATCCCCACTGCAGTAATTAAATTCTCACCTGTAGTTACTTGGATTTTATAATAAAACAGATGTTAAGTATTTCCGCTCAACACGGAAATCCGTTCACGTTCGTTTAAAATAAAAATTCAATAAAACATTGTTTATTATATCATTACTATTTGTGTAAGAGTTTTAAAGGTTATTTCAAACCGTGTTTTATGATTGTACAGTATGAAGAGATTTTTTAAATACCACAAATGAAAAATGTTTTTCCGTACAATACGGGTATTGTTCGCATATCAACTACCTTTATACTGTTAGCGGGAAAACAATTTTCAGCCTCCTCTCCCATTGTCTAGAAAACGACATTCACCGGAGAACCAAAAAAATAAAAATAAAAAAAATAACCCTCGGCCATTTATAACTTAACATAGTGCATTATAATAATGCAAAGCATTGGCAATTTAGGTGTAATGGTGGCCGCGTAAGATTAATAATTCGTCTGGTCCGTGCTGATTCGGCCAGCGCTTGCGGTTTTTTATCCTATTCCAAAACATCTGTCGCGCGCGCGTTCAAACGTATAACGAACGAAGGGAGAGAAGAAA